GTTTTCTTCTAGGCTAATTTATTATCTTGAGAACTGATGCTTATTGGGAAAGGATGAAAGCACCTCCAAGGTGTTACTAGGGAAAAAGTTACTTTGGGCAAGGAGGTCTTCTGCCTCTTTTCTGGAGTCTCTGCCCTCCCAGCCAACCTGTAATTCCACAGTTCTTGGTCATGTCATGTCAACACTTATGAGATCCCACCCCTACCTATTTAGAAAGTACTTTAGGAAGAATCATGAGTCACAAAGGAAGTGACCATCTACCACAGGTGAGTTAAGGCCCAGAACTGGAAGCAAGGTCACCCTCCACACAGGTGCCTGACTCTATCTGTCCAACCCCGCTTCTCTCTTCAACTCCTCTGCACCTTTTATGTTGTCTCTCTCTGGAAACAACATTGATTCAGACATGCTGCCTTTTACCACATCTAGTGCTTATCAATTCAGTAAACAAGCATCGACTTCTCTGATGGCCAAATTAACCACTGTCTAGCTGACATCCCATAGCAAACCTCAGTCCATGCCTTCCAGAATGATGATTGTGGTAACCAAACACGAGACCAGGTTCACCATACATCTGCTCACTCTTGCAGTGGCTGCAGCTGCTTGTAGATAATCTGCTGTCAAAGGGGCTGCCTCATTGAATGTCCATCACTCATCATCTCCTCCACTTCCTCCACTCTGCGGTCCAGTGTGCATCTGTATTGTAAGTGGCATAACAGCATGAAATTATCCATGAAAAGTTCTCATGGCTATTTAGAAGTTGTGGGCAGCAGAGGTAGGGGGTCCCCTGTGGGCAACTGGGGACACACCAGTACATGTGGAGAAAAAAACCCAGACACCTACACACAAATGATAGCCTGCCTACAAGCCTGAGCAGAGAGTGGTTCTGCCAATCCCTGTATCCTAGCCTGCCCAATGGCCTTGGTGTCCATGGGGACCCAGAGCAGTGCCAGCAGGTGAGCCTGTGGCTGGGCCCACAACCATCACTGTGCATGTCAGTCTGTGTGATGGTGATGCTGGATCCCAAGAACAGCATGTGCTCACCTGTGAAGCATTATCAGGCATGGATAAAATCTACTCTCATGTTCGGTTTGAAACTTTGGAACCATTTTTCTATTTAAATATTCAAAATTACAATTTTTGCAATGACTTAGACTTTTGAATTTAATCTCATATTTTCACGTTATATTTAAGAAAGTGGTCTTTTTCTTTAAAAAAAAAAAATCAAGCTCAGATCCTTTGCCAAGTTGCATTTTCTAGAGATGGGTTCATTGGTAGTCAAATGGGCATTGTCAGAGGTTCTTGGAGGCTTCAGTTTCACAATTTTACTTTTGGTCAGACATGAAGCTAACTGCCTGGAGGCTTCTGGGGGCTTCAGCCCCAGAGCTTGGGACAGGGTGCTCAGCTCTCATCCTGTTCTGACTGCAGTTCTAGCATTTTAATTTTATTCTTTCAACCTTGACAGAAAATCCAGCATTGAAAGTACCAGAAGTATAATTTTTTTAAAAGATTGATTTATTTTTATTGAAAAGTCAGACACAGCAATCCAGGCAACCGTAACCCCAAGAGGAACAAGTGGTCATTACCCTGAAGTCCATTCGCTAAGCTGAAGACCTGTATCTCAGCCTCCCCAACAATATGTTGTCCTAAGAGACATACAACAAATAACCTGGGCACACTTACAAATCTGCAGACATTCACCTTTCCCTGGCTTCTCTGTCCACATTCCATTTTTGTCAGGTCTCACCTCTCCTGGAACTCTCAAAAGTATACAATTAGAAATACAAAGCATCTTAGCATTAACATCTTCACTGTCCTGCCCAAACAGTGAACAGAGGGTGATAACTGTAGACACAGAGGGCCCACGCTTAGGCGCTACCTGTCCTCAGAGACTGTCCGTGGGAAGCCAGAGAGCAAGTAGGTACTGGGGAGTGCCTGAGTGACGAGACACACAACCAAGAGAGTGAGCCCCTCCCTATCATGAGAGGGGCTTTAAGGGGCTTGTGTGGGAGGTGGTTATACAACCATGGAATACTGCTCCCTCTCAGGTTCCAGGTGGTGATAGCTGAGCATCACAGCTGGGCAGAAGGGAACACCTAGGTGGTGATGGGGGAGTGGCTTCCAAGTTTGCGACCCTGAACTAGCTGCGTACCTCACTATAGACGATTAACTTTAAATGTTACAAAGGCTATAGTAAAATTAAGCTTCTAATGAAGGAAACTTATCAAAAAAGAGTGATTTCCTTACAATTAAGATAGGATACAATGCATCTATAATAACCAGTATTGCTAATATAGAACCTTAGACATGATGTCTTCTCACTTTGTCTCTGTGAATGCGCAGATGTTGGGTTGGAATTTATCGCACCACCTTGAACAGAGGAGTTCCACATGAGACAATGCAAAAGCAAAGGAACTTTATTGCTAGCGCGCTAGGGTCCAAGTCTCATCTGACACAGTGGAGTCTTAACAAGCATCCCAACCATACGTTTCACACAGTTCATATAGGGTTTTGGCTGCAATTCTAGGAATGGGCCATTGATTCTATAAAGACATTGGCAAGATTGTAATTGGTCAGTTTCTATCACCCATGACCATTCTGGTGGTCGGTCTCTCTTATCTGTGCCCACCCCAGTGGTCAGCCTCTATTGTCATGACCACTTGATGACTAGGGACCTTTCAAGTCTCCTCTGATTGGTTGGCTGAGTGGCTGAGTCTAGGGTGTCTGGTGGCCCACTTTGGGGAATCTGCTGCCTCAATTCTAGGGACTGAAACTTAGGCCTAGCCTGTCTTGAGGCCTGCTCAAGGCCTGTCATGACTTTACCTTGGTTCTCCTTACAGCAAGCGAAGCTCTCATTACAGCAGCCAGAATTAGTGGTTAGCTTTGCAATTAATCAATCAGCATCACTTTAACATCACTAACCTGTATTCTAATTACCATTACTTATCCAACCCTCTGCTAACTGCTATCTCTTAACACATATGTGCTTTAATTACCTTATTACTAGTTACTCATTTAATGCTATCCCTAATGTTTTCTTCTAACACTTGTACATTTTTGCCATTAACTTGATTTTCTTTATTGCCAGGCATTCATTTAACCATTTCTTAATACTACTCCCTAATACTATTCCTTATTAGCATCACTGAAGTACTAATTATCTATTGCTTAACACACTATTTTCTTAATTCATCTATCAGCACACTTCAGTACTACTTAGCTGTTATTTTAGTTCCTCAATCTCACACAGAAAATTAAACGCAGTAAAGAAATTGTATGCATAGTGGTCAAGTTTTAAGAACTATCAATTTGTATTATGTATGGAGGCAATCCACAGAAACCAAAACCAAAAATGATGACATATTCAAGCAAGTTACTATGTACTAATAAGAAACAGATATGGAACAACATTAAAATACAAAATACAGACCAGGAAATTAACACCAGTAAGATAAATGAGATTGAAAAGATAAATGTATACTGTATTTTCAAATGTTCTTCAGTTCTGCATTTTACAAAGCCAGCCGGGCAGCGCAGAGGCTGGCGCCACAGCATGCTGGATGAGGCCGAAGCGGTGAGGGGTCCGAGGGCACAGCTCACCGTCTGCAGCCCGAGCGCGCCTGCAGCTTCCCCAGGGTCCTTCACTCTGCCAGGCCGTCAGCAGCTTCCCCGGGGCCACCATCTGGGCCCTTCCCTCGGCCAGGCCATCCACAGCTCGGAGCGCCCGCAGCCTCCCCGGGGCCGCCATCTCGGCCCTTCCCTCCGCCAGGCCATCCACAGCCCAGAGCGCCCACAGCGTCCCCCGGGGCCGCCATCTCGGCCCTTCCCTCCGCCCGTACGCTGGCGTCACAATGAAGATGGCGGCGGCATCCGGCGAATGCCCGGATGAAGGTGGCAGCCCCGAGGCCCGCAGGAATTCGCCGCTCGTCCCCGCCCCGAGTCCTGAGGGACGGGGGCTCCAGGCTGTCCTCAACCGGCAGCGGGCAGTGGCCTGCCGGGGACAGGCGGTGGGGGAAGAGGCGTGACAGCAGAAGGAGGGAGAGATGCGGCCGAGGGCGGGGGAAGGGACGCAGCCGAGCGCCGGGCCGAGGGCGGAACCGCCGCCGCTCCCAGGCCCAGCCTTCCCAGAGGGCGAGGCCGCCTCCCCGCGGCTCTCCCCGGCTCTCCCCGTCCCTTTCCGCTGCTCCCTCCCCCGCTCCCCAGCTATTCCCCTTGTCCCCTACCGTCCTCCTCCCCACCCCTCTCCCCGCTCCCGCCTCTCCCCATCCCTCTCCCCGCACCGGCCTAGCATCCCACCACCCCGTCCCACCTCCTTCCCAGGCCCGCCCCGCGCAGGCGCACAGCTGCTTGTCGGCCCTTTCTTGCTGTGCATTTCCCGCAGCAAAGTGAGAGAGGAAATCCGCCCGCCTGTGGTCGCTGCCTTCCCGCGCCATCACTGTCCGTTCTCATAGCGACCCTGAGCCGCGCTGGCAGCACCGGGGGCCTCCCGTCTCCCAGGCAGCGGCCCTCCGCCCTCTCGTCTCCCAGGCAGCGGCCCTGGGCCCTCCCGTCTCCCAGGCCGCCTCGGCGCCGCAGCGTCTCCCTGGGGCGCAGGGCTCTAACCAGAACCTGCAGTACCTAATGTGACTCAAGCACACAGGAAGTCTGCATTTCAACATCTTTATTTCAGTCATCTAGTCGGCATTTGGCATTTCCCGCAATGAATTGTAGCTGGTGAAGGTTGGCACGCTTTCCGGAGTTGGGGAACAGAGAGGGCAGGAGAGCGGCCAGCAGGCGGACTTCTCTGAGCCGACAGCGCCCCCTGCTGTGGGGAGGCTCAAGCTGCAGACGGAGAGGCCAAGCCTCACTGCCCCTCCCGCCCTCACACCTGTGTGGTTCTGATTGGCTGCGCGTCCTCTGACGCAGCACGTACAAGGTCTGTGCGAACGATCCAATCGCGCGCGCCCAGGAAGCCCTGCGGAAGCACACGGGATACCTGCAGCCGCCACACTGGCCTTCCTAGTTCTGCTGCAAGAGAATCCTGGGGCAGTGCAGCCGCTGCCGCCCCGAGAACTTCTCTGTTCATGAGAGGCTCCGGGCTTTGCAGCCTCTGCTGCCCGTGACCATGGCCGTCCTCTGCTCGTGAGAGGCCCGGGACAGTGTAGCCCTGCCGCCCCAAGACCTACTCTGCTTGTGAGAGACCCTGGACAGAGAGAAGCCAGGGCCAATGCAGCCGCTGCCGCCCCGAGACCTGCTCTGCTCGTGAAAGAGGCTCTGGGCAGTGCAGACGCTGCTGCCCGTGACCTCCTCTGCTCGTGAGAGGCCCGAGACAGTGTAGCCCCTGCCGCCCCGAGACCTACTGTGCTCGTAGAAGACGCTCCAGGATCTGCAGCTCCTGCTGCCTGTGACCGTGCTCCAGCTCAGGATCCCTCGGAAGGACGCCCGATTCCTTAGATGCTGGGAAGTGGTGAGTGTGTGAGAGCATCTCCTCAGGTCCCCAGGGCGGGAGGGGTTCCAATAGTGAGACCTTGGTGGCCTCACTCTGCAGTATTGACCTTGAACCTTCAGGACTCACATTTTTCCAAGTCGTGCATTGGGAAGGGAGAGTGTCCAGGGACAGTTCGAACTTCATGTTGGGCCGGATTTTCTTTTTTAAAAATTGGTCCTAATTTTGTTGCGAAACAGCGTCTGGAGCCCACAGCTAAGTCCTCAGTGTAGCTCCTCCTAAGGGGCTCACAGTCACCTTGTTCCAATGTCAGACCAGCACAGACCCCAGCAATTTACCTCACAGCTTTGCTCCAAGGTTGAGGGGCAGCATCGGGTGATGGCCTTCTGGTTGGCAGAAGCCAGGGGTGGCACAGAGACCTTGCAGACAAATAAGGGGGTGCAGCAGGGACTACCCCAAAGGGGCTTCTATAGAAGAACCGAGGAATAAACCATTAAGGTACAAGTTGCCTGGTTCCATTTATCCTGATGGCTTTTGATATGGTGCCACCTGTCCCCACTGCTTACGTTCTCATACTTGGGAATAAATGTCCCCGTGAATTTTGGAGGGAGTTAAGTCACATTCTCCAGAGAGCATTAAGACAGGGGATAAATCCCCAAATGTCCAGAACTGCTCATAATGCCAAGAGCTGACTTCTGCCCTGAAAACTTGCAACACACTCCACTGTTTCCCCCAAGACACAATTCATTCAACTTTGGTAATTTATCTTTGTTTTTCCCCCGCAAAATAATCATTAGTTCTGTAAAAGGACTGTTTTCTGTGAACACTACGCATGAGAGAAGAGCAGTGGCTACCCACCTGACACACATAGTAAGATATCATCGCCCTGTCTGGGTGAGTGTGACAGTGCTTAAGATCACATGCGGGACTCACGTGGTTTTATCAGAATGTGTAGGTTCCAGTTCTGTTCAAATGCAGTGTGAAGTTAATGCACATAGTGGCTTGGGTTTTGAAAATTCTGATTTATTTTCAGTCTTGTTGCTTCAGCCTTGTCCCAGCCTTGCCTGTTGCAGGCGTGAGGAAAGTGAGACATTGGATGAAAAAGTCTGCCTTCGTCTCTCTGCACAGTAAATAAAATTAGATGAAGCTTAAACGTCTTAGTACATTTCCCTTTTACCTAACTGAAGTGCAGCCACTTTATCAGAATGTCGTCACTTTGTGATTCCCCTTGGGAAATTGCCTGTTTCATGATATACCCTTCTCTTTTTGTTTTGCTGAGTTTGAAAAACCTTTGTAACAAACAGGACCAACTTATCTTGGCTCACTCATTCCCCCTGAAAGATAGCAGTAGAATGGTAGAATGCTGCCCTAAAGCTGGAGGGCATCCATTGTGTTCCCTCTGTTTTGTATAGTTAACCCCTGCAGCATTAATGCTTTCTTTACCCATCCTCTGTTCCATTGCTTGCTGACATATTGATACTTAAGGGACAATGTAGAAATGATCAGTGCACTCTGGATTCACTCAGCCTTGCCTAGGAGTGAAACCTTTGCAAAGACCCCGGTGAATCCTAGGACGATGTGCTTGGGATACACAGCAGCTTCATTTTACATTCACAAGTTGATTCAGTCAGAGGCAGTTGGTACCAACAAAGGATTTTTGTTAAAGTGAAATTCTGGTGGCCTGGAGTACTTATACATTTGTGAATGTATTTGAGTTGTTTAATAAAAAGTATCTTTTGTGCTCAATATCTGGTGCAAGGATCTGAAGACCATGCAGGTTTACTGAGACAAGAGTCACCTGATCCATGGAACTTGGACCCACCAGACCCTAGATAAGCCAAGGAGATAGCTCTGGGTGGCGTCCCTGTTGAATTCTTAAAGGTGACAAAAACCAGAAAGAGCTAACACCTGCTATCCACTAATATTATCCTGCACCTGTGTATAGAGGTTGAGCCTTGACTCCGTGGCCCCTAGTAACACTAGATGAAATAATTGACTTGTTTTGTAATTGGTGGTAAGTTGGTATTAAGCAAACATAACACATCTGGTAATAAAAAAAATCTCAGCGGTCACAACCATCACTTGGTTTTGGATGTGTGGTTGCAGCAGAGAGCTAAGATGCTGGACACTCCAGGCTGTGAAGAGTTTCCAGGACCAGATTGTCACATTTCTGGCTGCTTAGAATTTGATCAATCAGTGCAGTGAGCCCCCCTGGGCACTGTGTCCTCAGTGAGAGTGATCCCCAAGGCCTGGGAACTTGGGTAAGTTTCTGACTGGAACTCCTTGTGAAGTTAAGCATGCTGCTTCCTAGAGCTCATTCTCTGTCATGTCCAGGTGCCTTGATTTACAGTTGGCCCATTTATGTAGGATTTATGTGCCCTGATTTGAATGTTACATCTTCTTTCTCTTGCATAAAACATGGGTTTATTCAGTAATCTCAGAGAAAGAAAAGACAATTCTTGGCAATGTAAACCTAATGACTGGGTGAGGAAAAAAGCATTTGTGAGTTCAAGTCTTGGTCTTTTTTACCTACGTCTGCAAAGGTGACTAAGTCCTGGTTCTATCTGATGTGTTTGATTGTCTAAAATTTATTTTTTCATTGATGTGGTGGCACAGCAAATCAAGCTGCTACCTGCCTATGGGTGCCAGTTCAAGATCTGGCTGCTTCTTACAATTGTGCTCCTCACTAATAAATCTGGGAAGGCAGCCTAATGTGTTCCAAGTGCTTGAGTCTCTGCCACTTGCGGGACACCCACAAGAAGCTCTAATTTCCTTGCTTTGGCATGAGTCAGCCATATATACTGTTATGTATGGAGTGAACCAGCAGATGGAATATTTTTCTCTGCATTTCAAATAAATAAATAAACCTTAGTATATACATTTATTTTTCAGTGAAAGTTGCAAATTAGAAGAGACAAAAATCATCCATCCAGTGCTTCACTCCCCCAGTGGCCAAAATGACCAGTGCTGGACCAAGCTGAATCCATGTGGGTTATAGGGACCAGGCACTTGGATGATCTGCCACTGGTTTTCCCAGCTGATTAACAGAGGGCTGGGCTGGGAATGAAACAGCTGATTGCATATGGGATACTGGTGTTGTAATTGATAGCTTTACATATTATACCACAATGCTGGCCTTGGCTTTATGTTTTTATACTGATGACAATATTTTTCTTGCTTTTTATTTCTCATATGCTGATTCATAGCAAGTGTTTCACATATGGGACAATATTCTCACGTTACAAATCGTGGATAAATTCTGATGCTGTATAAAGCATTGGTAAGGTAGAAGGATTGGAGTTTAACAGTTCCTTCATGTACATTTATTTATTTTGTGATTCTCTAGGAGTTGGTTTGACTTTTTCATCTAGTATTAACTGAATTCTCTGTGTGATAACTTTGCTAAATAGTTGCCACTAACTTATTCTGTAAGCATGAACTTGTACTGATACTGCAAGTTGGTGTGCACTTGACTTGCATTTTATAAGATTTTCCTCTACATAATATGTTGCTCTGTTTAGGATCACTGGGGAGAAGCCTGTGGTCCATTAAAATTATGTGTGAAAAGCTGCACCAAACATCCATGCCAATTCTTGTGTTCAAATTGTTTCTTTTTCTCATAGTTTTTAAAATATTTTTATTCAGGTATTTTATTTATAAAAGTCATGGAGACAGAGTGATTTGTCATTTTCTGGTTAACTCCATAAATTCTTGCAAAATTGTGCCAAGGCCTGCCCAAAAATAGGAGCCAGGAACTCCGTCCGTGTCCATGAGAGCAGTTGCAAAGACTCACTTGCAAAAATTCCCTGATTGCTTCCAGGGAGTGTCTTAGCAGCAAGATGGAATTTGTTGTGGAATCATAGGACAAACACAGCAATTCCAGTGTAGAATGAGTGTCTGCTGAGCATTTTCTCAAACCCTCCTCCAGATCCGCACACCTCATTTTAATTGAGCATCTTATATGATTCTGTTTTCTTTCATTTATTAAGATATAAAGGATATGTGTCTCCTAAATTTTTATTTGTATAGTTTACGTAGAGTCTGCAATGTTCATTGCCTATAATCTAAACCCAATTTTAAATAACACTGTACTATTCCTTGAGAAGTTCAGGTTTGTTATGGTCCCAAATTTTTCACCTACTCTGTATAATTTCTGTCATTGCTTTTAGTTAGTGTAAATTGAAACAATGTTGCTCATTATTGGTAATATCACTTTGAATAAAGGTGTATATATTAAATGATATGTGGAGCCTGGTGCAATAACGTAGGTTAAGGTCCTCACCTTAAGCATGCTAGGATCCTATATGGGTGTCAGTTTTAATCCTGGTAGCCCCACTTCCCATCCAACTCCTTGCTTGTGGCCTGGGAATGCATTTGTGGACAGCCCAAAGCTTTTGGGACCCTCCACACATGGGAGACCAGGAGGGAGGAAGTTCCTGGCTCCTGGCTTTGGATTGGCTCAGCTCCAGCCTTTGCGGCTGCTTGGGGAGTGAATCATTGGACAGAAGGTCTTCCTCTCTATCTCTCCTCCTCTCTGAATATACACCTTTCCAATAAAAATAGTAAATCTTAAAAAAACATTTAAAAAATGATATGTGAATAGAGAAAGTGAATGTCTGTACCCTCATTTGATGTCAAACACTCGTTTTGAATGACCTGACATCTAAAATCATGTTGAACTTTTTACCTGATTAATTTCTCTATTATTTGTTTAAGAGAATGTGAGAGAAAATCAGAATTCCAATTCACTGGTTTGCTTCTTAAGTGTCCACAACTGCCAAGTATGTCTCAGTGCTTAGGCTGGGAGCTGAGAACCCAATGCAGGTTTTTCCTGTGGGTAGCAGAAACCCAGTGCCTAAGGCCATCACTGCATCCCTTGGTCTGCTTTCATAGGAAGCTGGAATCAAGATCAGAACTAGGAGTGCCACTCAGGTACTCTAATGTAATCTAGAAGTTTCTTAACTGCTGGGCTTGACACTCATCTTGTGTTTTTTTGTCATTACTGTTGTTAACTGAGATAC